CACATGACTAAAAAGACACAAAAGATAGAGTCAATGTTGGAAAGTACTAGAAACTTAAAAACAATTGAACAATGTTTGTGTAGTAGTCAATCCATTTAGTTGGACACAGAATTCAATTAGTTGGAATATATTCTACATGTTTTTCGAGTTTGACAACGGATTGATATCAGTTAGAGAACCAATGAAAACCAGCAATGGAGTACTGGACAGCTGTTTCGACCTAGTTTGGGATTCATCGGCTGCACGCACCCACCGCCAGAGGTTTCGAATCCACGACCTTCCGGTTAAAACGCAAGCTCGTAGACCTTTCAGCCACTGGGACTTAATCCAATTCGTGAATTTTCAAACAGTAGCTGCTCATGTTCAATCAGCTTTAGAGACATTTTCAACATCGACTTGAGAATCTACTGTTTTTTTTATGACATTTCATGAAGTCGGTGTTTTTCTCTCTAGTCTTCCCATGCTCCTCTTTCCAAGATATTGCTGATTGGTCATTCATCACAACAAAATTGTTAAACTGTGGTCTAATAAGTAACGAGAGGAATTCCCATTCCATTATGGATCAGATTTTATTTTGATCAATCACACAGTGACGTTTCGAGCACAAATTATTAATGGAGTTGTACTCTATCACAGTGCCCAAATTTTATACTTATATCAATAATACATAGAGAATTCCCACTGTTGTACAGGATGGTCGACAATTAGTAATAACTACTAGAACCAGTGGAAGCGGTCGAGTCGATGAAGGCTTACACGCAGAAATTGGATCCCAATATGGAAACATACTGAAAGGATTAACACCCACTGCGTTACATATTTTCCTGAAGGCAGAACTATCACGTACCTGTTATGTTTGGTGCATATAACTATGTTCTTTTCAGAGATATCATTCCCAAGCTGTACAATCGCACATATATAGTAAGTTGTCTTAATAATAAAATGAATGTTTCCGAAGATGTATCATTAGAATTGTTAATTCAAGATAACAATTAGGCAATATGTAAAGTGTTAATCGGGTGGAAACTGAAATAACATTAAACAAGCATTATGATTGATGGTAATGAGTATAACTCAAATAAAATTGAAAGAGATTCAGGTTAAGCACCAGCACCACAATAATGGGCAGAAATGTAATAATGGGGAGGGGAGAAAGATAATATAATTAAAATAGGAAAAAATTTACTTATCGGATATTAAGACAGATTAAGTTCATGGTGGGGCTCTGTATTGCGTAATTGTTATCTAAAATTTATAATTCTAATGATACATATTTAGAAACATTCCTTTTGTCGCTAAGATAATTTACCATGTATATATGCGATTATACAGCTTGAGAATGATATCACAGAAAAGAGTAACTCTTCGCTGAACAACTTTTCTTTTATACAGTCCAGTGGGGATTTTTTAAGTTGCACATAACTATACTACTCAGTAGTAAGATGCCTAAAATAATGGTTTACACTTTTACAAACCTTAGTGTATTCCACCCAACTCTTAGTTTACAATAAACAGAATATACAACGTAATTAGAATTTAATTGGCGGATGGTGACTAGCAGAGGAATCCATGATGCGTATTTCGTCCCGTTTGGGACTCGTCAGTTGAATGTACATGCATTTCCCAGTGAGTGATGGTGTTCCCACCGAGGCTCGAACCCAGTGCCCATAGTTTCACACGCCAAAATGTTATCAATTAGACCACTTGGGTCACGACAGCCATCTCATGTGCAAAGGGTCATATTAATTATTTAATTGAATTTTAGATTTTCCCGTCGATTGATTGGACCGATTGAACCATCCACCAATTAAATTCTAATTACATGCCCAGACATCTGTGCAAGAAGCCGACATGCCAATCTGAGACCGAGCACTTCGGTTCAATCAATCGACGGGAGAATCTAAAATTCAATTAAAGAATATACAATGGTTATGACTGAACTTAGTTGCATGTAAAGGAGAGCAGGAAATTTTATGCAACTGATAACAAATAATACCCATTGTTCGACAGTTTGTTTTAGTCTAGTTAAAACTCATTTAACTGGAATAGTTTTTTCATGTTACGAACAACGCTCATAGTATGATAACTGGTAGTATTACGTAGTTACCCAGGCTAACGAGTAAGCGGAGGCGGATTTGAGCTTGACATCCACTGATTGGAAGTTCAGTACTTTAGGTAATGAGCTGAATTTCCACACGACAATCGATGATATCATGTAAGTGGAAAATGATGTCCGATCGCATGACCTAGACTAGTTGTAAAATTTAGTATCTGTATTACTTACAAAGATTTTATTTCTTTTATCATTATCTTCATCATTCAGTTTGTCTTCGAAATAAACGAAGAAATGAGGGATGGAAATTTGCATGTATTTCATTGATTACCGAGGTCCACTAGTTAGGAGGTGAGGACAAATACTTTCCAAATACACTGGATGGCGGTGGCGTTATATATTACGAAATGACAGAATTTAGAATTCATGGACCATTGGATTCCTTCCCAATGGCTGGATGGTTAATGAGATCGCCTCCGTGGGATCATGGGTATGCGCTTCTGAAGGGTCCCATACAGAGGCGAAACGACTGTCTATTACACCCAGGTTTCCAGTGGTCCTCTAACTGATATCAACCCGTGATTAAATTTGAAACAAATCAAATCTCTACAAACTAATACTTGAAGAGTAAAATTTAAGTCAGTTACAGGATTTTATCATGAGCTGATACTGGCTAGAGAACCATTGGTAAGCCTGGGAGTACTGGACAGCTGTTTCGTCAGCCTAGTTTGGGATTATTCGTCAGTACGCACCCACACAGCAGGGTTCGAACCCAGGACCTTCTGGTTACAAGGCTAGCGAGCCCGTAGACTACTAAGCCACTGGGACCTGATCCAAAGGCCCATGAATTCTAAGTCCTGCCGATTCACTACGTAACGCGACCGCTAACCAATGTCTTCGGCGAGTATTTGTATTCACACCCAACCTGCTACATCCTACTGGTCACGACTTCCCACTAGAACCCCAGGGCCAGTCGCTAGTGAACCTCAGATTAATTTCCAAGTATTAATTTTGTAGGGATTTTTGTTATGCATTGGCAGGAGTTAGAATTCATGGGCTATTGGATCAGGTCCCAGTGACTTAATAGTCTACGAGCTCGCTGGCCTTGTAACCAGAAGGTCCTGGATTTGAACCCCGCAGTGTGGGCGCGTGCTGATGAAGAGTCCTAAACTGGGATGAAACAGCTGTCCGGTACTCTCTGGCTGGTTTTCCAATGGTTCTTTAGCCGACGTCAGCTCATGATGAAATCCTGTCACCAATCAATCGAATCTCCACAAACCAATACGTAAAATTTAAGTAATTATAAGACTTCGCTTCTGATACATATACATCTGATTTGATATTTATTGAGGTTTAGCCGCTGATTCTTTTTAGTTTGTCCTTATCCAGTTATACATAAATCAGATTGTTAGCCACTATTTAACAATTACCTACAGTACATCCTGTGATTATATTTCACATTAAGTTATCTAGACATCAAGATGACAATATTTTACGTCCCAAGAATTTCTATAGATTTTGATGTTGTTGTGTTCTCTGAGCTGGATAGTTAATTTGCGAAGCTTTCATCACCCTACTGGGTGACATCTTCAGCGCATACTTCAATTTGAAGTCAAATTGAAGTATGCGCTGAAGATGTCACCCAGTAGGGTGATGAAAGCTTCGCAAATTAACTATCCAGCTCAGAGAACACAACAACATCAAAATCATCCACCTGAGCTACAAATCTTCTCTATCATATCTAATTTCTATAGATATTTATTTTGAATACACATCTTAGACAGAAGCAAAAAAGGATGACAGAAACACAAAAGGTAATGCCAAAGACAGATTTATATTAACTTGTTTACAATATTAAGAAATATCAAATAATTTAATAGTCTCTTAGTTAAGATTACTACTATTTATTCTAAGAATGGGTGTGTATTTTAGGAAATATTACCGGCGGCGACTATAAAGCCCTAGGGAAAGATAAAATACACAAAGCTAAAGTCCATCTTAGTTAACCGTGTTTTTTTTCGCCGATGTGAGAAAGTAGAGTTAATTTTAATGTTAGTTTCCCAGGGGAAATAACTCTAGATGCAGTGGCATTCCTGTGTCTAGAGTCAAAAATACGACATTTTATACCGATAGTGATCAATCAGAATTCCTAAAAACTAACTTTAAATACCATCCAAGTTTTTCGTACACACACACTGAGATATTTTAGTCTTCCAAAGAAAAATACAAATGCTTCTTGATAAACCTTCATATTCTTCGTCCACCTGACAACACTGAGTACTTAATAAACAACACAAAGTCGATTGCGTAAATACATTTCGAGGTCACCTTTAAAATAGATGATATTGTTCGAATAACTTTGATATACCATAAGATATCGTCAACTTTTTTCCATGCAGGAACTTCCACGTTCCATTTAAGTCTCTCAGTCAATTTGTGGTAAAAACGAAAGGAATTCGTCATACGTAGAAATAAATTTATGACACTTGGCTCATTCATCATAAATGAATAATGCTAAGTTGAATTTTTGAGGCTACGGCTCTATATATAAATCTGACTGGCGAAATCGTTTATTAATTATTTTGTTTAGTTCCCCTGTTACTTAATTCTCCATTGAATAGGTGACTCTTTTGTTTAATTTTTGACATAAGTCTAGATTATAGTTTGATTTCACACACACACCGCTGTGCCACCAACGCACAGTGAATAGAGCAATCAGCTGACGAACACGAAATGAATGCCAAAAAAAGAACTACAGAACCATTAAATCTTTCAACTGCAAACATCCAGTTGTTCCAGTATTCTATATGGGAATCATGCAGAAAAATAAAGTTTCAGCTCCCGAAACCAAAATATGTGGTCAACATTCCTATTTTTAAATGAAGATCTTTAGTGTTAGAACCAAAAAGCAAAGTACACAGTTATTAATGAGAATAAATTAACTCACCCTTTCCAATTTGTTTCCGGGCATTTTCAACAGCTAAACTCCTGTTTATATTTGATAGAAAGCCTAAAGAGAATCGACCACTATCTCGACCAGGATTAGTGAATCCATCAACAATGATACTCGGTATGCTGGCAAAGTAAGCTTCACCAATGCGTGAATTTAACTCGTAGTATGCAATACTGCACCAATATTTTGGTTCTTGATAATTCACAGCATGAAATTCTGGGATAACAGGAGTGAAAAATATCATTTACGAGTATGTACACATAATATTTGATGAAACTATGACATTTAAAGGCACGAGCCAATACAGAAAATTAAATGGAAGCAACAGGAGTGAAACAATAGCAGAACGGATAAAAAGAGAGCTAGGGGAGAAATTCAAGGAACAAGTGATGAATATATATATATATATATACATATATATATATATTGCAATGGATTTCGAACCCTATCAGTGAGAACTGTCAATCACTAGACTGTATGAGATACATTGGGATTGATATACTGACCCTTGTCACGGTACACCGAGGATTAAATATGAAATACTATGTTGTGAGAACATTCGAATGAAAGATCCTTAAACTACAAATACGGTATTCTACAATACACAAATGCTGACCATGCCGCGAATTTACTTAATTGATATTAATATCCAAACTAGGGCTACGTCACATAGTTTTTTTTAAAGAAACATTAGTGGCTTTTCTCTCTAACACTAATCAGTTCAGATTGCGGTCAAAAGAATTGGCTTAACATTTAATGTTACCACGTATGAAAAGTTACACGCTGATCATTTACGGAACACTCGACTATGAGCAGGATCGAGAATTTCGAGGAATCTAGTCATTATTCAAAGTTCTGTTCATTTAAGGCAGCTGTCAGCAAATAAAAGATATTAATAGAAGGATGAAATACATCTCTGAGGAAAAGCAAAGACTATAGTTGACTTTACGGTTACAGAGCTCAGTGGTTCGTATCACATCTAAAGCCAACTATTTGAAATTCAGCTTTTACAAAAATCACTAAGATTTTAAGGCAAATTTTATGACATCCCACAAAATTATACATAAGTCTTACCACATTATGACAATTTACCTAGTCTTTTTCAATTAATTATTTCCAAAATACGTCTCGTTTTTGTGACAACGATTTATGTGGAATAAACCTACTTCGGCTTCGTTTCAATACGTCTCTGAGCCATTTTAACAACAGAAATTAACATTATGTAAGCTATAGTATATGACTGTTGATGCTTGATCACTGAGCTTTTCGAAATTAACTGAGCTGGTGCTGAAAAGTTAGTGATCAAATAAAAACCTTGGTATTCATTAAAGTTTCTACATTCAGGGCTAAAAAACTTTGACTTCAGCATTCTTCAACTCTATTTGAAGATTCTGAGAAAATTATCTTTTCGACGAAGTCATCAACTGGGCTCTTATGTAATTTAGTCAAGGCTTTAACAACAAATTTAGGCTAGCAGGATGATTTGAGTCACATTCATAATCACTAGGCCACCCACTTGTATTAATATTCAAGGCTTAAAAAATAACCTCACATTTCAATAGTATAATCTACTCTCTTCAAAAAATCAATGTCGTATCTTGATTTTTAACAATAGTTACAAATTTCAGTGAGAAGGCAAACTAGTAGCCTAATACTTTTTGTGGGATACTAGCCACTTTCTACAAATTAAAAGAAATTATTGTGCTAATGAATGACCACGTTATTTCACAGATTGAACTTATAAATATAGAGATAATATATATTTGAATTAAAGAAAATACATGCAATTACATAAAACCCAATAAAGATTATTGGACATAGCTAATTATGGTCCCACAAAATAGAGGTGAAAAAACTTGTGTACTACAACTCCCTGAGTATTTCAAACTAATGTCAGTAAGATATGGACATAATAATTGTCATTACTAACAGAAAAGTTATCTCATCACACGACTCACCTGAATAACACTGAGAGTCACATGGTTGGTCACCTGTTGTAGGTTCTTTTTTGGTAGAATCAATTGTTGGATATTCATTATGACGCGGTACTAAGACAGGAGGTAATACTATTAATATAATAACTAAACAATTCATGATTACCAGGGTAGTCAACTCGAGTGTAGTGGTATGGGTTAATGCACACCTCAGTCTCCTTGGAACTAAACGGCAGTTTGCAGTTTTCCACAGGTCTTAATTCATGATGACTCTGGAGATCAGGCCATCGCCAAACCCTACAATAAATGACATGCGGAAACCCTTTTCGGTGAGAAACCTATAATAATCATACAAGGAAGCATGCTACTATACCTGTATTCGTCCATCAAGAGATCGAGGAATAGTTACACACTCACTGGGCTCATTTGGATGTAGTAAAGCATGCTGAAGTCTTTCCAAAACACCCTTGCGTTTTTTCAATTTTTTGATCAAAGTCTCGATAGCTTTCTGAGCCCATTTTCCTTCTTCATCACCTTGTTTCCATCCCAAAGAGCCACACAATACAGGATAACCAAAATCGAAAGGTTTTTTGATACACACATTTGGATCGAGCATTTTCTCAGGCAATGTAGGAATCATATCTGCCACCTCCTGTCCCAAACAAAATGCTCATTTTCGCGGCTTTTAACCAAGGCGCTTTTCACTGCCCCTCAGCAGCAAACGTGTTGATTGAATAAAAGAAAAAAGCTCTCAGCATATTTTCGCCTTAGTTTTCGCGTTGAGAAACAACGTTTACAAGATTCTTATTTTGATTTTCTAATATGTACTTACTTTGTTTTTCGAAGAGAACAATCAGTTATCATTCATATAGAGACTTAATTGTTTATCTTTCAGTACTGAGAAATGTGAAGGTGTGTTATGAGCCAGAATAGGACGCCCTACTGCTCTTAACACCTTAAATGGTAATCGTGTTCGCAATCTATTTGAAGTACTTAGCTGTTAGTGATATTCTCACTTGATGGCAAACAAGTTGTACAAGTTGTATAACTGACTTTTTGCTTCGTCCACACAAACTCGTTTGATACGTTATCACGTTTTAATGGTTGACATAATTTAAGACTAGATAAATGTTGATTACCATAAGAGGCGCTGAACTAAGCGAGGCAAGATACACTATTGATTAGAGAACTATGCACCATATCGTAACGTACATAACTTTTCCATTTAAGAAACGAAACACATTAAATGTGACCATCATTTCCACCAGAATGGCTAGTCTCTGAGTGCAGAGGAATAAAAATCATGAGTCAAGGAGCAAAATCTCTTTCCCGCTAGAAATATTTTGATTTCTTTCTCCAAGAATACGGCAGTTATTCACTGGGAATTTAGAGGTAAGCAAAGCGTGAAAAGTAACTGTTTATTAGTACAGCATCACTGAATTGAAGAATAAATATTACAATTTATTTCATTTTTTCATATCCTTTTCTAATGACAAGGATCTTCTTGTTTAAATTAATGCAAAGATTGTAGGTTAACTTAAACTAGCTTAACATATACATAAAAAATGTGCATCTACTTTTCAGATAAAGTATTGGCATGTTTATTGGGATTGTGCACAACTGTGGCTATTTGTTTCACAAGGCGGCTAGTTGGTTTCACTTTGTACTGAAGGTTTGCATGGTCTCAGAGGTTCCTTAATTCCTATTCTCGAAGACGTTTTTTTGTAGTTCATAGATTAGATATACAGTTCATGTAAAATTCTCCTCATGTGTGCCGAAATGGTGTCATTTCTAAAGGACCTACAGTTAATCAGTCCAGCTTCGGTTAGTAACAACCAGATAGAACAACAGTTCCGTCGTATCATCCCTAATTTATGTATCATTTTGTCACTTTTGTTCGAAGCTAAGTGCTAGAGTACTCAGATTTTGCGCGAATAATTAATCTTAATTCATCAGATCACCTAAGCGCGGAAGTGAAAAACTTGATTCCCTCAGTTTGACATGAGGATTGGAGGCAGTGTGTACAAGCATAGGGATATACATAAAGCTAAAAACATGGATTTCGCCTGATGGACACACCACGAACCAGACAGACTTCATGTCATTGCTGCTCGAGGAAGTGGAAAGGCCGCTCAAAAAGTAGAGGAGAAGATTAGATATAGGCTGAAACTATCACCCAGTTAAAGCAACCCTAAAGGTGAAGCTGGAAGCCTTCGAAACAACTGGAAACATACCACAATTCAAGTTCAACAGTCAGAAACTGAAGTACAAAACTACGAAGGACGCGTTCACTACAGATATCAGAGCAAAGTTGGAGACACTACGTGCAATCACCGAGGAAACCCGAGTGGAATAATATTGGAACTAACTCCCTGAAGGCGATAGTCAAGGAAATGTGTACAGATGATCTAGGAAGGAAGAAGAGACATGAGGCTCTCAACGGACACCTAGAAGCTGATAGAAGAGAGCAGAGGAGGATGGTGAGAAAGATAAGATGACTTAATGCAAGGATGGTTAACAAAAGAAGCTGAGTTTAGTATACACTGCACTGGACAAAGAAGTGAAGCGGAGTCCTAGGGAAGTCAAAACACAATTCTACGACACGGTGGCTGGCAAAACTTCAATCCTACTGGGAAGCTTCTTTAATGGATAAATTCTTTCCTCACGGAAAGAGAGCAGACAGTCAAAATCGACCACCAGCTGTCTTCACCAAATTCGGTAAATGTGCTTACTAATCGTATGTGTAATTTATCATATTGATGATGCCTGTAAACTGGCGTACCTCATGTACAAAAATGAGAATATATTGTTATTAGTGTTGTAACACAAAGTAAAGTTCTTGGCTTTATTCTGTTCCTCTTATCCACAAATGACTGTGTGACCAAGTATGGCCAGCCACTCCTCTTTGCAGATGATTTCAAGACAGTATATGATTACGGGTACGATGGCATGAGCTCTGAAAGTAAAATCCAACACGACTTAAACAGTGTAGATGATTGGGGCGACAAATGGTAACTGACTTTTAACCCAGACAAGTGCGGTATAGCCCACCTTGGACGCTGGAAACCGAGCATGTATCTATATATGTACGGTGACCCCTCAAAACTGAACGCAGTCACAGATCTCGGGATAACATACTCAGATTTAACCTTTTCCAATCATGACTATAAGCGACTTACTGCCTTTGTACTATGTGACTTTTACACCCAAGAAGCAAGATTATCCAAATATAAGACATGTATTCGCCCAAAACTTGAATATTACGGTCTCCTATTTAGTAACCTAAGGTCTGAAGACCGGGAAAAAGTCGAAAGCGTCCAGAGATATCTCACGAAACGCATAAAAGGGTTTGATCAACAAATGGAATATGTTGACGACTGAATTTAGAATCTCTTTGGCTAAGGATAATGAAATGCAACTTGTTTCTACTCTTCAAAGTCAGTAGGAAACATTGTTACACTAACTCATACATAATTTGGGCAAATATTAATTCATATCAGCTGCGAAACCACGACCACCTTCTCAAGGTTGCTACCCACCGAGAAAACATTAGGGCAAACTTTTCACCGTTAAAATATTGTACTATCTGAAAAACAACTACCATCTCAAACTATATACTGTTGATTCAAACTGAGCCTAGAAAGATGCATTAACACATCCACTCTAGATTATCTAAGAGATCCCAACTGTTGGTAGAATGGTACACGAAAGCCAGTCCAGTCTTAAGTATAGTCAGCTAGATCTATTTCAACTCTGCTATTTGTGCAGCGAACGTTTAACGTTACTGAGTTTCTCTCCTCTATATTCTTCAGTAAGTTGGGTTAGTGTAAGAAGCAATTATATTAGCAGCCATACCTTTTGATATTATATATATAAATGAAATGACTACATTCAGTCAATATCTACCCTTTCTCATATGCTTTCTTAAAATGCATAATTTTTTCTTATCCATAACATAAGTTGATGGGCTACTTTGCAATGTCTAACGCATACCATATAAAAACTGGCCATGAAAATCTAGCATAACAAGTTTTCCTAAGGATCATTCTGCATAACATTATCCTTTATTATTCCACTACTCATTTCACTCTGTTAAATGGACTGTAACTTAGTTGCTATAGTATTAAATACTTCTATACTTCATAAATCTTTGAGGAGAACGTAGCTTCCCAGTCATTTGTGATAACTACGCATACACATGTATCCATGTACAACGGTAATACTGCTAAGAACATCCTCAGGTACCGATATCTCTGGTGACTTAATCGGGAGCATTTGTCATAAAAGCTATTAACGCTCAGCGTACTGTATGAGTGAGTTGGACTCAAAGCAGTAGAATGCTACAACTACCGTTATTGCAAAAAATCTCACCAACATCAAGAGAGGAGGGAGGATGGCGCATTCCGATCAGCAGATATGGTGGCGGTCACACATGTGAATCACTCCGATCTGTGGGACAGCAACATGCATTTTTGACAGCTCAAGAATTAAACATGAGTCTAGATCCTTAACATCACATTAAAAAGCAATAATGACTGTCTAGATCTAAACTGAAAAATATCTACAAGCCTGCTCAGCTTCTTGTCGCGATGCTACCCCTTGGGCCTTACAGATCAGCTTGTCCTACAGATTATAACGTTTCATATCTTTGAAGCCACCTCTCACTGAAATGTCACTTACATACTTCACAATAATCTTTTTGTCCAAGTACTGATATGCTCATATGAACTGTGATCAAGATTTGACCGGATAGTTGCCAAATAATTGAGCGCTGAGTGAGAAGTAGACATTTATAAATTTATATTTGTAATAACGTTTCGTTCGGCAATCTGGTCCAAAAATGAACTGGAACAATGGCTTTTGCCTCCCAAACATGTTCACGTGCATAATCTCCAAAATTTCTACACAGTACTAATTCATTAATAGCTTAAAAACAACTAAAACACTGAAACCATGCATGAATGCAACGTATGAAACAATAACAATAAAACGAATGCACTAACCTGGTGCTAAAAACTTTCGAAACAAACGAAATAACTAATTTTAACAGAAACGGAAGCAACAGTGCAGTGAAACGCAACATTTGTGAACAGTGTGCATCAAGATAAGTTGTGAATAACTGCTGGATAAACGGAAAAAGCAATATGTAAACAAACAGCTACGGAACTGCAATCCAACATGGTCGACTAACATGGACGAAAATGACCTTTGAGAGTCTCACTCCACCAATGACCTTATACGTGACGTTTAATTTCTGCCTAATATGCTCTACTTTATCTTAACTACCTAGGCAGTTAATGAATATAAAAGTTACTCTTTTGTTCGTATCTGTCGCTCGATTAAAGTTTCACCGCTCTTATGAAAAAACAAAACAACAAAGCTATATTTTCATAGTTTCCATGGTAAGACTTATATGATTAGCATTAAACACTGCAAATGTATACTGTTATTCCAAAATCTCTGTATCTCCTTCTCGTATATATTTTTGTAAATGTACTTGCAATGATGTATTATAAATAACTGTATATTGATACCATTTCGCAGTTCCCAAGGACGCTCTTCTCTTGCTGAAACAGCTACTTATCAGGTGGGGGCATAGCACTTACCTAAATATATGCTATTCATTGGTTGACTATTACTATCAGCAGGAAACGGAACGAAGTTTGGGCTGGCGCTCAGCCATGATGGTGAACTTGATGAAGGGTTCACGGCCAAGTT